TTTCATTTGATTTAAATAGATTTGTCAGAATGTGTTTGACTTTTATTTGATTCATAAGCTTTGTTTAAATGTGTTTGACTTTCATTTGATTCAATTAGCTTTGTAAAATGCACTCGATTATCATTTGATTCAAATAGCTTTGTTAGAATGTGTTTGACTTTCATTTGATTCTGTTAGCATTGTTGAATGCATTTGACTTTTATTTGATTCAAAAAAGCTTTGTTTGTATGTGTTTAACTTTCATTTGATTCAATTAGCTTTGTTTGAATGTGTTTGACTTTCATTTGATTCAATTAGCTTTGTTGAATGCATTTGACTTTCATTTGATTTAAATAGATTTGTTTGTATGTGTTTGACTTTTATTTGATTCAATTAGGTTTGTAGAATGCATTTGACTTTCATTTGATTCAAAAAATCTTTGTTTAAATGTGTTTGACTTTTATTTGATTCAATTAGCTTTGTTTGAATGTGTTTCACTTTCATATGATTCAATTAGCTTTGTAGAATGCATTTGACTTTCATTTGATTCATAAAGCTTTGTTTTAATATGTTTGACTTTCATTTGATTCAATGAGCATTGTTTGAATGTGTTTGACTTTCATTAGATTCAATTAGCTTTGGTGAATCCATTTGATTTTCATTTGATTCAAAAAGATTTGTTTGAATGTGTTCGACTTTCATTTAATATAATAAGTTTTGTTTGAATGTGTTTGACTTTCATTTGATTTCAATTACCTTTGTATAATGCATTTGTTTTTCATTTGATTCAAAAATTCTTTGTTTGAATGTGTTTGAATTTCATTTGATTTAATTAGCTTTATTGAATGCATTTGACTTTTTTTTTTGTGTTAAATAGATATTTTATTAACAAATAAGAAAGATACAACTTACAAAAAGAGTTGCAACATACAAACAACCAGACTACAAAGACCAATAGGCCAAACAAACCCCCAAACCTGTTCAAGGATTGAGAGTAACCACCTTCTAGGAAGGGTGCTAACTCAAGCCAAGAACTATCTAAACCCCTACTATAGACCACCTTCTAGGAAGGGTACTAGAAACAGGGGCTAGACAAACAACAAAGCCTCAAAGAACTACAACACACCACCAAATCTAGAAACAACTAATAGAAAAGAAAGCTCAAAATAGCCCAGCATCAACAGCAGCTACGAAGGAGCTCTACCATTTGTAGTCCAGAATAACTTCTTTTTGAAATTAGTACTACACTTGCAAGCAACTCTATACGCCAACTGTTTGAAAACAGTATCAGCAAGGTCACAATAGCCATTAAACAAGGCATTATTTCTTTGTAGCCATATGCTATGGACTGCTACAGCTAGAAACATCAAATGCAGCCTACTAATAGAATCAATTCTTCTACTCCTCTTGATAGCCCAGTCTGCTTCCTGTTTAAACCCTTGAACTGGTTTAGAACAATTGAGAATCTTCAAAACCTTTACCCAGATCCTGCTAGAGTAATTACACAGAAAGAAAAGATGTTGAACACTTTTATTTTCCTGTAAACACAAAAAACATATATATAGGATCACAAGACTGATTCCAAGTAAGGATTCTATACTTAGTCAGCAGCCTATTCCAATTTGCTAGCCACAACATGAAAACACTCCTTGGAGAAGCACTATTATTACAAATAATTCTCTTCCAAGGGAATTTATCAGCTTGATGTCTTAGCTTGGCATATAATTTCTTGATTTGAACCTTATTATTGCCAGTTACTAAGTTCCAGCCACCTAAATCATCAATCTAACTTTTATATTTCATGAGTTTCCTGAGAACCCATGATCCTTTTGATAACTTGCTATTTGATATGATTTTAGGGTGTTTTTGAACCTAGTTTACTTGATAAAATTTGTGTTTTGGTTCACTTTTACTATATTATTATGCAATTTTTGTGTATCCTATGCTTAACAGGTTGTTAGTGTTTTTGTTGAGGTTCTAGGTTCAAAGATGAGAAAATGGAGCCCATGGATACAAAACCGAGGTTAGAAGCAAGAATATGGTAGAAAGAAGCCAAGGAAAGGAGAAATATAGAAGAAAATATGGAAAAAAGGGCTTAGAAGACCCTGCACGGCCGTGCCAGACTTTGCACGTCCGTGCAGGAGGTTCCAAAAAGTTACAACATTCTGCCAAGGCCTGCACGGCCGTGCTTAGGTTGGCACGTCCGTGCAGAAGAGGCTGCACGTCCGTGCCATAACTGGCACGTCCGTGCAAGATTTCAAGCCTAAGCAGTAGCTTCTGCCATGCCCTGCACGGCCGTGCATAAGGCAGCACGTCCGTGCAGCTTGGTTTGCACGTCCGTGCCAAACCTAGCACATCCGTGCACACCTGTAGTCAAGCCCGATTCTTGTTTTCTCTGTCCTTTTTATTTTGGGGTCTTATAAATACCTCCTTTGAGCTCATTTGTACGGAGAGAAAAGGGCAGCAAGGTTTTTAGAGCCTTCTCTTAGTTTTGCAATCCTAGAACATTAAATTCTCAAATCATTAGTTAGATTCTAATTATTAGCATGGAAATATTCAATTTCATCCATTGTAGAAGACAAGTTCCACCATTGTTGCTCACTTTGAAGCTTCATAGTAACTATTTCTTACTCTTCTCTTTCATTACTCTTTACTTTGTTGTTAATTGCTTGCTTAATTCTTGCATGCTTAGATTGTTAATTAGCTTAATCTTTAGTTTGAACTTTTTCATGAATTTCTTGAAATCTCTATTTGCTTTAACCTCCATGGATTATGAGTAGTCCAATTTCTAGGGTTTGGGTAAAACCCTCAATGTAGTCACTAATAAATAGTTGCATGTGCTAATTTGGTTGTTGTGGGATGTTAATTAGTTGAGTTTAAGTGGTTTAATTGCTTAGTTCTTGTATATGGCCATTTCTAGAACTATTTATCAAAGCTTTCTCAACGAAGGATCGAGAGAAGAACTTGAGTTAGCTCCCTTATGCTTGATTGACCCGAAATGCCATGAGAATAGGAATTTTCGGTCAAGGGAATGTTTATGTCATCGTGATTATGCTTTAACACTTGTTTTATATCTTGTAACCATGAGAGTAGGTTATATTCATGATTCAAGTAATCCCTCTAGCTTGAGAGAGTAGTTGGGTGCCTTAGATGACTTCCCCTAATTTATCCCATTAATTTACCTTGAGTGTTGCATGTTAATTATGAATTGTGATGAAGTTGAGTGGTATAACCCGAGCCTTAGATTCCCCTAAATATTGTTAATTTCCCCTTAGCTTTAGTTGAATTGAACTAGTAGAAGTTACTCAAGACCAACCCAATTTCGACTTCATTTAGCTTATCTAAACGGTAGTACTCGGTGGTTGACTCAACGCCTCTCTTGGGTTCGACCCTTTCTTACCCTTGCTATTAGTTAGTGAGACCTAGATAGGATTTATTATCTTTGGTAGGTTCGACGACGGCCTATTAAATTTTGGCGCCATTGCCGGGGAGGCAAAGTCACCTTGAATGTATTATTGTTGAATGAGACTAGATGTGTGTATATGTATAGTAGTTGTCTTGCCTTAATTTTTGTTTATGTGTGTTTAACTTGTGATAGTCATTGCTAACGTTTTTCTTAGCTTTGTTTGACTTTGCATGACACGAAAGAGTAAGCAATCACCGCTTATTCCCATTGATCTAGAGCTAAATAGGACTTTGAGAAACGTGAGGAGACTCTTGCACGGCACACCCGAGTTTTCCATTGTATATTCGGATTCTGATCCGGAAGAAGTTTTTGGAGCTAATGAAGAAGATAACAAGGGAGAGAATCCTCCACAAGCTCTCCTACGAGACTATGACCACCCCAACGTATTCCAACTTTGGAGTGGCATACGTCTTCCCACCACAAATGCAAACAACTTTGAGCTTTCACCTCAAATCATCCGTATGATTCAAAGCGATCAATTCGGAGGTAGTCCTTATGAGTGTCCTTTTGCTCATTTGGACAACTTTCTTGAGTTGTGTACGACCATCAAGCAAAACAACATTTCGGAAGAGTTCATCTGTATGCACATGTTTCAATTCTCCCTCCGTGATAAAGCAAAGCATTGGTTGAGAACGGTTGAAGAGGGATCATTGAGTACATGGGACGAAGTCACTAGAGCCTTTCTTGGAAAGTATTGTACTTCGAAAAAGACCGCCATATTAAGAAGAAAGATCACCAATTTCAATTAAGACATTGATGAAACGTTGAGTGAAGCTTGGGAGCGTTTCAAAGATTACACGAGGAAATGCCCCCACCATGGTTTTACATCATGCATCATTGTACAAAGCTTCTATGACGGTCTTACTCCTATTTCAAGGGCCAACCTTGATTCCGGGGCCGGTGGTAGCCTCAAAAAGCTATCGGTGGATGATGCATATAAGATAATTGAAGAAGTGGACAAGCATTATGCATATGGAGATGATCGAAGGCAACCTCAAACAAAGAAGGGCGGAATTCATGATCTTAGTGCAATAGATCTTATTGCATCAAAGTTTGATATGCTAGCTCACAAGCTAGATCAAGCCACCCTCACACCCTCAAGCTTTTCCTCACAAGTCATGTCTTGTGAGACTTGTGGAGAAAATGATCACTTGTCCTCTTATTTCAACTCAACAAATCAAGAACAAGCGGCGGCAATTGAGCAAAGAAATGAGCAATACTCCCAATCCTACAATCACAGTTGGAAACCCCAACAAAACACGGGATGGAAGCAACACAACCAAGGCCCCCACAAAACAACTACAACCAAAACCAAATTAAACCTCAAAACCACTACAACCAATCCCATTCTCAAAATCAACAAGCTCCATACCGCCACCCTAACCAAAGGGATCATAACCATCAAAGATCACAGTACTACCAACCCATTCCTCCTCCCCCACCTTCTCAAAAGACTAGCCTTGAATCCGTTCTTGAAACTTTCATGACACAACAAATAAGGAGCAATGCGGATATGAATTTAAACATCCAACAACTTTAAGCGCACAACAAGATAATGGAGAGCCAATTAGCTCAAATTGCACAACAAGTTGGAAGTTCATCCTCCAATCCTAGTGGTCACTTTCCAAGCTCAACGGTAGTGAACTCAAAGGAGCAAGCTAAGGCTATTACTTTGAGATCAGGAAGAGGTTATGAGGGCCCGGTTATTAGTGAAGAGGAGCCATAAAAGAGAGATGAGGGAGTTGTGGTGAGAAGTGAGGATGATTTTGAAAATGAAGTAGTTGAAGTTGAAAGAAAAGAGCAACAAAAGAGTGATGAGGGAGCCACAAAGAAATATGAGGGAGATGAAGAAAGAATAGAAAAGCCCCCTATGAGAGTATATAAGCCCCCCATTCTGTTTTCTCATAGAATTGTAGAGAAAAAGTTGAATGAGAAGTTTTCAAAATTTCTTGAAGTCCTGAGAGGACTTCAAGTGAACATCCCTTTTCTTCATGCTATGTCACAAATGCCTACCTATGCAAAATTTTTGAAGGATCTTCTATCCAAAAAGAGTAGGCTTGAAGAGAGTGCAACCATCTCCCTTCCTAAGGAGGTGAGTGCAATCATTCAAAACAAGCTTCCCCAAAAGCTTGGTGACCCCCGTAGCTCTGCGATACCGGTGAAGATTGGAGATTTGGAAGCTATGGATGCTTTATGTGATCTTGGGGCAAGTGTGATCTTGATGCCCTACTCTATTACAAAGAGCTTGAAGGTTGGTGACTTGAAACCAACAAGAATGTCCTTACAATTAGCCGACCGCACAGTTAGGCTACCATTGGGGATTCTTGAAAATGTGCCGATTCAAGTTGGAAGAGTATTTGTGCCATGTGATTTTGTGGTAATGGAAATGGAAGAAGATACAAGAGTACCCCTCATTTTGGGGAGACCATTTTTGAACACCGCAGGAGTGGTGATTGATATGAAGGAAGGAAGATTGACTTTGAATGTGGGAGATGAGAAAATTTCATTTTCATTCTCACAAACTTTGAAGAAGCCATTGATTGATGAATTTCATAAAATTGACACATTGGAGAGGGACTTAGAAGAGTTCCGAGAAAGATTGTATGAAAGAGATCCCTTACAAGGTACCCTAATGGGAAGCTTAGTTGAGGAGGGTGAAGAAACAAAGGGGTATGATCTCTTACTCAACCAACCTTTGGCCCACGAGGTGATGAAATTTGAAGTACTTAACGTGGAGGCAAAAGAGGAGAGGACTACGCCTCCTCCTAAGGTTGAACTTAAACCCCTTCCCCCTCTACTTAAATATGCTTTTCTTGATGATAGTGAGAGTTATCCCGTTATTGTCAATGCTAAGCTCGATGACACCTCTCTTGAGAAACTCCTAGTTGTTTTAAGGGAGTATAGAGATGTCATTGGGTACAAAATTGATGACATTAAGGGGATAAGTCCCACCATATGCATGCATAAAATTCTACTTAATGATGATCATGCTTCCTCGATTGAGCACCAAAGAAGGCTCAATCCCAATATGAAGGAAGTGGTGAAAAAAGAAGTTTTAAAACTTCTTGAGGCGGGCATAATCTACCTTATCTCCGATAGAAAGTGGGTTAGCCCGGTTCAAGTTGTGACTAAAAAGGGAGGCATGACCATCATCAAAAATGATAATGGTGAGACCATTTCTACGAGGTCGGTCACCGGGTGGAGGATGTGCATTGATTATCGAAAATTGAATAAATCCACCCGGAAAGACCACTTCCCACTCCCCTTCATTGATCAAATATTGGAAATACTAGCATCACATAGTCATTATTGCTTCTTGGATGGATACTCGGGATTCTTTCAAATCCCAATCCAACCCGAAGATCAAGAAAAGACTACATTCACATGTTTTTTTGGCACCTTTGCATATCGAAGAATGCCATTTGGACTTTATAATGCACCTTCCACATTTCAAAGGTGTATGATGTCTATTTTTTCCGACATGCTTGAATCATCAATCGAGGTATTCATGGATGACTTTTCTGTTTTTCGTTCATCTTTTGACACTTGTCTTTCAAATTTGATCAAAGTGTTAAAAAGATGTCAAGAGGTGAACTTAGTTTTGAATTGGGAAATGTCATTTCATGGTAGAGGAGGGCATTGTTCTTGGTCATGTGATTTCTAGTAGGGGCATTGAGTTAGATCATGCCAAGATTGAAATAATTGAGCGCCTCCCACCCCCTACAAATGTGAAGGCGATACGGAGCTTTCTTAGACATGCGGGTTTTTACCGCCGGTTCATAAAGGATTTTTCAAAAATCGCAAAGCCGCTCACTCAATTGTTGGTAAAAGATGCCCCTTTTGTGTTTACTAATGATTTTTTTCTAGCATTTGATAGGTTGAAGGAGGCCTTGATTTTGGCTACTATCATTCAACCCCCTAATTGGGAGCTTCCTTTCGACCTTATGTGTGATGCTTTGGATTTTTCCGTTGGGTCCGTTCATGGACAAAGGAAGGACAAGAAGCTCCATGCTATCTATTATACTAGCAAAACATTGGATGAGGCACAAAGAAATTACACAACCACGGAAAAGGATTCATGCAATTGAGAAGTTTAGGTCCTACTTGTTAGGCTCTAAGGTCATAGTCTTCACCGACCATGTGGCCTTGAAGTACCTCTTGTCCAAGAAGGAACCTAAGCCAAGATTGATTCGGTGGGTCTTACTCTTGCAAGATTATGATATCGAGATTAGAGACAAAAAAAGTGCCGAAAATGTGGTGGTCGATCATCTTTCGCGGTTGCCTATCTTCGTAGGTGATCTTGATAATTTGCCAATTGATGATTCATTTCCGGATGATCGACTATTTGCTATCCTTCAAGCACCGACACCATGGTTTGCGGACATTGCAAACTACTTGTCTTGCTCTATTCTTCCTCCCGACCTCACCTATCAACAAAAAAGGAAGTTTCTTCATGATGTTCGCCAATACTTTTGGGATGACCCATGCTCTTTAAACAAGGTGTTGATGGCCTTTTTAGAAGGTGTGTCCCGGATTATGAGATTAAAGATGTTATCACAATGTGTCACTCCTCACCTTGTGGAGGACATATGAGTTCTAACAAAACCTTGGCGAAAATCTTGCAATGTGGTTTCATTGGCCTTCAATGTTCAAGGATGTGTGGGGTGTAGTGAAAGCTTGTGACCGGTGTCAAAGAATCGGAAATATTTCAAGAAGAAGTGAAATTCCATTGAAAAGCATTTTTGAGTTGGAGATTTTTGATGTATGGGGCATAGATTTTATGGGGCCTTTCCCGACCTGTTTTGGGAATAAATTCATTCTTGTGGCCATCTATTATGTGTCAAAGTGGGTAGAAGAGGTTGCATCTCCTACTAATGATGCTAAGGGGGTGGTCAAACTCTTCAAGAAAGTCATTTTTCCAAGGTTCGGGGTGCCACGTGCCGTCATTAGTGACGAAGGTTCGTATTTTGCAAAGCGGTCCTTCCAAGCTCTTCTTGGGAATTACGGTGTGAGGCACAAGGTGTCATTGGCTTAACACCCTCAAACAAGTGGTCAAGCCGAGATTTCAAACCGGGAGATAATGGTGATCTTAGAGAAGACGGTTGGTAGGTCTAGAAAGGATTGGTATACAAAGCTAGATGATGCTCTATGGGCCTACCGCACCGCACTCAAGACTCCCATTGGCAACACCCCTTACAATCTTGTATATGGGAAATCATGCCATTTACCGATAGAACTTGAGCATTAGCTCATTGGGCTATTAAAACATTGAACTTTGACCTTCAAAGTGCCGGTGAAAAGAGGTTGCTTGACCTCCATTCCTTGGAAGAACTAAGATTGGATGCATATGAGAATGCACGGATCTACAAGGAAAAGACCAAGGCTTGGCATGACAAGCATATCAACAAAAGAGAGTTGAAGGAAGGTGACAAGGTCTTACTATTCAATTCCCGGTTGAAGTTGTTTCCGGGTAAGCTAAAATCAAGATGGAGTGGACCTTTTACCGTCAAGAAGGTGTTTCCATGTGGTGCAATCGAAATTTCCAATGAAAATGGTGAACCGCTCAAAGTAAATGGCCAAAGGCTAAAGGCATACTTTGACGGTTTTGTGAATGAAGAGGAAAAAGTTGTTCACCTTGATGAGTTCGATATCCCTCACTAACATTTGATCCCGCAATGTCGTCAAGCTAGTGACGTTAAAGAAGCGCTTCTGGGTGGCAACCCGAATTCCTCACTCTCTCTCATAAATTATTATTTCATTTGTTTTATTTTATTATTCCTAACCTTTTTTTGTATATCTTTTGTAGGTGTTTGTTAAAAATAAAAAAAATAAATAAATAAATAAAAAAAACTTTTAAACCATGCACCATCAGGTCTGCACGGCCGTGCAGATGAGAGCAGAAGTAGCAGAAAGTTGAAGTATTGAAATTTGGGTTTCGGCACGTCCGTGCCAAAACAACACGCCCGTGCAGACGAAGTGGCACGTCCGTGCACTGGAAGACAGATTTGTTAGCTATTCTGGCAGGAGTTGCACGTCCATGCCAACCTATGCACGTCCGTGCGTCATTATGCACGTCCGTGCAGTCGAAGGCAGAAACAAGCACCAGTTCTGACTGGAGCTGCATGTCCGTGCCAATACATGCACGTCCGTGCAGCCCCAGTTTAAGGCTCCATTCGCACGGTTTAACAGCATACAAAAAAAAAATTCACCCCTCAAACTCACGATTTTCTCCTCTCTCTCTCTAAACTCCTTCCTCCTCCACTCAATTCCTCACCCACATTCAACATTTTCATCAAAAATTTCACTCCTTTTCAACAAATTTACAAAATACTACTCCATTCTCCATATTAAACCCAAAAAAACACTCAAAATTTTCAAACCCTAACAAAAAAAAAATCAAATTGGGGGTTTTCTTGTGGGTTGAAAATCAAAGCAATTGGTTGAAGGAGGAGGCTCAAGCAAGCACAAGGAAGGTTAGAAAGGTTAATTTGTGGGTTTTACACCCACGTTAGACTTGGTTTAATCGTTCTTTCTACTCACTACTTCCATACATACAATATTGATATTTTGAGTTTAAATTTGCTTGGAAAGTTGTTTGAATTGGTAGTAGGTGAATAATTGTTGATATATGTTGAGCATTGTTGAAATTGGTAGTGCTTTATGAATTTTGTGAAAATTGGGTGTTTGTAAGTGAGTAGAATTTGGAGGATTTAATTTGGTGAATGAAAAGCATGCTAGCCTAGTTGTGTTGTTGTTGTGATGAACTGTTGACATGAATGCATGAGTTTTTCAAATCTTAATGTTGAGTTGTTGTGATTTGAAATAGTGAAGAACATCTTGGTTTTTTTTGTGATTTCTTGAACTTGATCCTAGGTGGTGTACTTAGAGCCCCAACGTGATTTGTGTGGTGTTTGTTGGTGTTGATTGAGCCTTGAATTGTTTGGTGTGGTGACTTTAATTTTTATGGCGTGTTTAACTGTTTTGCATAAGAACCAACCATGTCATGAAGAAACCGCCCTAGAAACACCTCCTCCGCTAGACTTAGGAACCCATCGCCTCCTCCTCCCGTTGCTCCACCACAACTGGATACCCTGGGAATTATTTTCAATGACCCGGCATTTTCGGCCAACTTTTTTAGGAATAGTAGGAGGCGAATTAGGCCCACTAAGTTTTACGATGAAGAGGTAGCCAATGCCCTAGGGGTAGGTGACGATGTTAGGATGTTGTTTGAGGGTACCGACCTAGGTTCTTGGCTACAATTACATGCCCAAACCTATAGAAGACTAACTCTTAAATTCCTCTCCACCCTTTATGTGCATCGGGACACCACGAGAACGCCCTGCTACATAATTTTCCAACTCATGAACACCCAACACCAAATGACTTTAGATAGAGTTGACCAAGCTTTTGGGTGGCCCACAACCGGAACCATCGGACCTAGGGATAGGCAACCCCGTGGCTATAATGCGGGAGATTTTTGGAGAAGAATCTCGGGGGCTTTTAAGTACAACCCTAGGTCCGATAAAGCCACCGCCATTATCCACCCTGCATTCAGACTCTCACAGTGCACTATAGCAAACACGACGTTTGCTAGGGGGGATAGCTCGGGGGTGGTGTCCACAAGGGAGCTCTACTTCCTTTGGCACTTGAGTGAGGGTAACACTAGCTTGGATGTTGGGTCTTGGTTTGTAGACCACCTTGAGGATGTTGCCACGGGATCCGGCAACATCACCATAGGTGGCATGATTACTATTGTTCTTGTTGCTCTTAACCTTGATTTTACAGATGAAGAGACTGTCCTAGGACTGACACAGTTGGACATGCAGTCATTGAGGGCCATGAAGTGGCTCACAGATGTAGAGGGGAACTACCCCTACTTGTGGTTAGTGAGTAGGCGTCCCTATGCCTATCTCCCTGACCCGGAAGCCACCGCCATATATGACCAAGGCAACTAGATTTTTGCAAGGGACTTTCCTTGGGCTCCCGGTGAAGAGGGAGAAGAGCAAGGGCAAGAGAAGCAACATCAACAACATCATCAGCAACATCATCAACAACAACATCAACAATTTCATCAACAACACGAGTTCCAACAAGGGCACCAAGATCAAGGCGTGGGTGAAAACAACCCCTACCTTACTTTTGAGCAGCAAATCGCCAACATGAATGCGAATTTTGCCCGCATGACCACCGAATTTGAGACCATGAGGAAGTCCAACGAAGACATGAGGACTTCTTTCGACGGAATGAGAACAAGTTTCGAGGGTCTTAGATCGGAGTTGGGCGATTCCCGAAATGTGTACCGGCATCTCCACCCGGGGGCTCAAGCTCCCAAGGGGGCCCGAACTAATGAGTTAGTTTCTTCCTCCCCTTCTCTTTGTGCTTGCATTGCTTTAACATTGGGGACAATGTTTATGATATCTTGGGGGGGAGTGTTTTCTCATGTGTCATTGGTTCATGTTGTGTTTTCGTGTTTCCATGTTGAGTTTGCATGTTGTTTATTCCCATTCCCTTCTTCCCTAACATCCAAATCCTTTAAATCCAAATTTGCTCCCTTTGAAATCCAATACCCTAAATCCAAATTTCTTATCTTGTGAATACCTCTTTTATCTTTTTATTTAGATGTATAGTATTTTTATTTTTATTCTTAGTTTAGCCTAATGTTGTAACTTTTATTTTCTTACTAAAAAAAAGAATAAAAAAAAAAAAATTGAAAAACGAAAAAATATTGTAAAATGAAAAAATTGCCCAAGGATGAAACTCAAATGACGACGCTAATATGTTTTGCTTGCTTGACTCTTGAGTGATGAGTAAAAGTTCTTTTAGAAGGGTGTATGCAAGAGTTGGGGTCATTTAGAGGTCTATTAATCCTGGTTGCATTAGTGTATATGAAATGAAAGTCGATGAATGCTCAATTGCACTTCTAGCATAGGATATTGTCAAATTTTCCCAAAGTAGGATATGTTTGAATCAAATTGCAGTCCCTTGTGCCCTTAATGTGCCTCCCCTCCTCCCCGAAATGAAACTCTATTAAGGAATTAGCTCTACTTGTATTATGTGTAAGAAGTGGCATAATAAGCCACACGTTTCG